TCCAGATTTTATAAGGGCTTCCTTATAATGTTTGCATTGATATAGTTTAACAAACTTTCAGGTTTATGCTAAGGTTTGAAACTTCAGTCGCTAAGATTTAATGTACTATTGAGATAATTAATTTTTTATGTCGCATTGCAATATAAATATTGAGACTGATACTTTTAAATATCTAAGTTATATGTTTTTTTTAACTTTTACCGTGTGTGGACCACTAGAATTTTTCTTTGCGGCTAACCCATCATTTCTATGCAGCCCAAAGTTAAAGTTGTTATAAAACTGAGAACATTAGTAAAAAAGGAAAACTCTAACTAACATACCTTGGGACAATCAAATACGCCCTTGGTGACATCAAATAAATTGACTGATTTCTTAATCGAAACTTCGTTATTGTTAAATAATAAGGGTTTAGGTTTTATACAGATTGTCAGCTTTATCGTAGTTGTAAGAGGTACGGTTCAGATGATGAAGAAAAATAACTTATTTTTATTATAATTAAACAGAAAGGCATGGTTTATACGTGTAAATAAAATTGTCGTTTTAGGCTCATCAAAAATGATCGATGATGACGTAACGGCAATTTTCTTGCAACTCCAGAGCTACTCACAAAGCACAACAAGACCCTTCAGTTGCATCTAGAAATAGTTTCTTGCTGTCAACAAGAAGGTAAAAAAATTGTTTTCTATCATTTTGGGTTGAAGTTCTCAAAATGAATTTACAAAAGAGTACTAAAGAATCGTTCACGGTGCCATCATTAAAGATGCGCTTATGGCAATTAACTATTCCATTTTAGTCGACGGAACGCCTAACGTTTCTCATATTGAGCAAATTGCATTTGTTCTCCGCTTTGTCAACTTTGATATTGATAAAAGATGATAAGGAGCGCTTTCTTAGGTCGAAAATCTCGAAAAAAAGAAAGGTGTGGATATTGCCAAGATAACTGAAGAACTGTCGAGGTCAAGGGTACAACAACGGTGCCAAATTGTGTTTATAGGAGTACAAACGATCATTCATCAGAGAAATCCTCAAAATTTCTACATGCCATGCAGCGCTAATAACTTAACCTAGCTGGTGTTCATTCCATTGAATTCTTTTTGGTAGAAATGAAGAACTCTTTTGGTCAGATTCAGTTTCTCTTCAATCTTTTTAGTGGATGCCCAATAAGATGGAAAATCTTGACCAAGACGACTGGTTTTCTCTTCATTAAACATCACAAACCCGACGGAGTGCATGCATTGAGGCTGTGAAGCCATAGGTTAAGCAACCTAGAGAAGTCCTTTTTTTTTTGCAGAAACTTCGGGAACTTGAATTAACAGTTCTATTGAATGACGTAAATTTTTTTGAGAAATGGATTTATTCATTTAAATTTGTTATCATGACAACCTTCTGGTTCAAAGCGCGTCAAGCAATTAAATATGTCAGCGTGTCATTTCAATCAGAAAACATTACTTTAGATGTTGAGATGAAGCTTATGTGGGTTCTTATCGAGGATCTTACTAGATTTAGATCTTCTTGACCCGAATTAATTAGTGAAACACATTTGGTTGCCTCCGTTCTAGCTAGTTATGGATTTCAGTCAAAATTAGTTCAAAAAAAGACCAGAAAGAGGAAAACCTTTTACAAAGAAGCATGGAACGAAATTCATTTTTACGAAAACAATGAAGAGCAGTTTGAGGGGAACGTATACAACATTGCTATCAATACTTTGATTCAACAAATAAGAGACAGATTTCGAGCTGCAGAAAAAGACGACAAACAGTTTTTCTTTCCTATGGCTCTCAGAATCTAATAGTAGATCGAGTAAAGAAAAAGAAATTTAACCACCTAGCCTGGAGGAGAAATGTAAAACTTTGGGGCAAATCTATGTGAACAATGTAGATAAAGACAAACTTTTTTTAGAGACAATCTGAAGCACGCCAATCTTTCCGGTTCAAAAGAATATATCACTTCAATCAAGCTATTGAAAGGTCTAGAGTCTATCTTCCAATCAATATGCATTTTGTTACGTGTTTTTAACACGATTCTCGTTTCCATCACCAAAGGAGAGCAGTCTTTCAGTAAGCTTGGTCTAGACAACACTAATATCTACAATAAGTCAAGACCGGCTTACCAATCTCTTAGTTATATCTATTGAACACGATCTTGTAAAAAGTCTGTGCTACGACAAAGTCATTCCAAATTTTATTTTAAATAAAGCCAGCAGAGTCAAATTCTTATAAAGCAGTTAAAATATCTATTACATTTAAAATTTATAGTTACTCGCAATATAATAAAGTTCAATAACTTGTCAACTTGTGCTTTATTTTTTACTTTTATTTCAAACTTTATTTCGAACCTAAAAAATAAATAGAAGCCTCCTCGACTGTATTTATCCCCTCGGCCATTTGAAAGTGAATTCAGTTTAAAAAAAGAGACTAAGCATTTGGACAGTGCCTAAACCTTTTTGGAGTAGATCAATATGACAGGGCACAATGTAAATTTTGACCCCAGACGTCATAAAGGGTCGTATATATAGATATATATATATATGTACATATTTTAAAGAAAAACACGATATTTTTTAATTTTTACATGTTTCGTAGTTAACATACTACATTTTCAAAAGATAAAATTACAATTTGAAACTCTGGATATAAATATAAAACCAAAATGAAGACATTACAGAGAAATATTAACAGACAAATAGAATTGTTACAAATTAATAAAAATGATAATACAAATTATGATACGGTAATAGCAACAACAACAACAAAATGTTATAGGTAAAAATAAATAAATAACTAGATTGACAAATTTATATCATAATGAACAGTTTGTTTATTTAAAGATGGATTTCCCATTTAATAAGTTTAATAAATTTCCCATTTAATAAATGGGAAAAACCATCTTTAAATAAACTAACTGTTCATTTTAATATAAATTTGTCAATCTAGTTTTTTTTAATTTTTTATTTACCTATAACTTGTTTTTGTTGTTGTTGTTGCTATTTCGGTATTATAATTTGTATTATAATTTTTATTAGTTTGTAAAAATTCTAGTTGTCTGTTAATATTTCTCTGTAATGTCTTCAAATTTTGATTTTATATATATATATATATATATATATATATATATATATATATATATATATATATATATATATATATATATATATATATATATATATATATATATATATATATATATATATATATATATATATATACACATAAACTAGAATTGGTTATATTTAAAAAACGCGCTAGCTAAAAAATCTAAAATTGCTTCTTAATGTGACAAGTTTGTATGCTAAAATTTTACTTTGGCTTCCATAATAAAACCTTTTTCCAACGGAAATTTCCGTGTTTCAAAAAGCAACAGCTTTTTTTTATTAACCCAGCCTATTTAATCTACTAAAGCTAGAAACTTGAGATCCAGAGTTTTTATGATTATGAGCAGGCGTAGTGCAGTGGTTTCTCACTTGTCACAGAAACAAAGTATCCGTGGTTCAAACCCCACCTCCTGGGAAGTTTTGCGACATATATATATATATATATATATATATATATATATATATATATATATATATATATATATATATATATATATATATATATATATATATATATATATATATATATATATATATATGTATATATATATATATATATATATATATATATATATATATATATATATATATATATATATATATATATATATATATATATATATATATATATATATATGTGTGTGTGTGGTTATTGGTGATAAAAATTTACAATTTTTTTTATAAATTGTAATCTTATGTAGATTTGCACATAAGCAAGTTTTTGCACTTTGACCGGCAGTCACTCGTTTTAAATACATATTTGTTTTATTTAATTAATAATGTTTCTATAAATTAGCTGGAATTGTAAAAGATCCATGTAACTGTTGTGACGTATGTGCTAAGGATTTGGATGAAGATTGTGGTGGACCATTTGATATGCTTGGGCTATGTGGAAGTCATCTAAAATGTGTTAAAGAAGAAATTCCTGGATTAGATAAGTTTAACGCTAAAGGAAAATGTAAGTTAAAGAGAAAATATTAATGTTTACATTTACATCATGAGTTACATCATAAAGGAGTTATCCATATATTACGCATTATCCATATATAAAGTAATTTTTAACTTTTCCCTTTCAATCTCAACTGTTAAGTTTTTACAAACCTCCCTTTAAAATTGGTTAAAAATTTCTGCATTTATTCCCCCAGCATACTCAAAAATAGTGGTGATGTGGGAAAGGTGAGACCATCGTAAAGAATTTGTTAAACCTTTTGGTTTAACAAATTCCTCACAATGTTTTTGTCAGATAAATTGTTTAGCTACTCAGTGTTTCTATCAATATGCTCAGTATTTAAAGCACAAAATTAACAATTAAATTTTTCTTTATCAAAATTGATGCAAATTGAACCTGCAACTTTCAGCAACAGGTTTTATAAAATCATTGCTCCAACGCGCATTTAAAGTTTTTTAAAAAAATCCCATACCCAATTATAAATACCAACCACACTCACATCATTATTTAACACCATTATGCTTACTTTTTTATGCACACAAGCAGTTATTCTCTGCTTTAAAAATAAAATAATAATTTCTCCGTTGCTTTAGAACTTATTTATAAACCGAAAAATGAGACTTAAAAACAAGTTTAGATATAATTTTTGGCACAATGCTTTTCTTTTTTTATGTCTTTATCTAATACTATACCATAATTTGAAAATACTTTTGTTAAAAGTGGAACTAACATATATGATCTTTTTTCATGTACGATTAAGTGTGCGGCTCTTGAAGTTTAAAACCACACTCAAACTTCAGGAGTATGAGTATAGTTTTAAGCCAAAGAAAAGCTGAACATAAAAACTCAATTACCTTTTAAAAACGTTAACAAGCATTAAATAATCAGTTTTATATAAAACATTGCTAATACTTAGCACATCGCTAACACTCAGAACATCGTTAACACTCAGAACATCGTTAACACTTAGAGCATCGCTAAAACTCAGAACCTTGCCAACACTTAGAAAACCACCATCACTTAGAAAACCGCTAATACTTAGAGCACCGCTAACACTCAGATTAATTGCTGGTAAACTGTATTTATAATAAACAATTTCACATCTGCTATCAATAAGTTAACCAAAAACTATCTGTTTTAATATACAGTCTGTAAAACTTTGAACAATTTTGTTAACATTTTTTTTGAAGTAGTAAAGTTACTTTTAAACCCTCCACACCCCAATCCCATCACCCCAATCCCATCAGCGTGACGTAATTTATAAACGATTTCTTAAAGGATATTTTTGATCATCCTTTATAAAAGTTTTTTTTTTTTTAAAATGTACTAATTCGAAATAATCTTCCGGTGTTCTTTTTATTCGTAAGAATGTACTAATTCGAAATAATCTTCCGGTGTTCTTTTTATTCGTAAGAATGTACTAATTCGAAATAATCTTCCGGTGCTCTTTTTATTCGTAAGAATGTACTAACTCGAAGAAATTTTTCAGTGTTTTTTTCTTTCGTAAAAATAATTCGAAGAAATCTTCCGTTGTTCTTTTCTTTAGTAAGAATAATTCGAAGAAATCTTCCGGTGTTTTTTTTAGTGAAATAAAATGACAATCTATAGGCAGCTTAATTTTATCCAAAAGAAAACAACTTTAACTTTTGATTTTTCCGCCACCACCACCCCCACCATCCCCACCACTATGCAATAGCCAAACAATACTCAACACAACAATATAAACAAATTTTTTTCGTTTGTTTCATTTTTCTGTGGCTACATAAATTTAAAAGTTACTGCACAGCAATAACTGAAACCCTTCTCTTTTCTCATAATATAATCACAGGTTTTCAATTATTAAAAATTAAGCATAGATGTCGTACAAAATCAAATCAAAAATTTGATTTTTTAATTTTATTTATCTATTAACATTAATTATAACAGTGTTAAAGTTGTTGTTTTTATTCATTTTCTCAATAAATTGGCTGTTTAACTTTGAAATGATAAAGTTATAAAAGTTAAAATTTAGGCGACTAAAGTTTTCTAGAAGTTTTGAAAAACATCAAAATTTTTAAAAACTGCTTGAATCTAAATAAAACAAGAATGTTTGCATTCAAATTTTTTGTGCAGAATTATTGTATTCAATCCAGTGTTCGAATCCAGTGTTCAAATCCAGTGTTCGAATCCAGTGTTTGATTTCAGTATTTGAATTCAGGGTTCAAATCTGCTTCAAAAACAGTTTAGCAACATTTTCTTTGTTTGATAATGAACAAATGTCTTAAATATTATTTACGTTCAAACTAAAAGAATAATATCTAAATATTTAAAACTGATATTTACCTTCAAACTGACTGTTAGATTAATATCTGAATATTTAAAACTGATATCAACAGTGTCTCCTTATCAAAAAGCTTTCAAAACTTCATCAAGCGTTTTTAAAAATATCCGTTAGAAGTTTGAAACCTCAAATGTTAAATTTATTTATGTATAACTTGTCATGTTAAAAATGCAAATCTCTGGAAGAAATTCATAAAATTGTTTAATTTAATGAGACTTTCTTTTTTGTTTTGACTAGTAATCACCAGATCAGGACCGCCGAATACCGTCACGCCGCCTGGGAGAGCAACCCTGATTAGCGCCCTTACTTGTTAAAGTTTTCCTATATTATAGATAAAAGACCTTTTTGTTTAGGTACCTTGTTTTCATTCGGCGCCGCTTGGATACTTGCCGCCCGGGACAAATTGTTCTTTTAGCCCTCCCCACTCTTCTCGGCGGCCCTGCAACAAATTAAGACTCAGAAAATCTTAAATTATAAGTTTTCAAATTTGCGCTTCTTTTTAATCATCTAAAAATTATGAATTAATTTCTTTGTTTGTTTTATTTTTAAAGTATTTTTCAAATTTTAAGGTCAACCTAAATGTGGACCAGTATGTCTCATTTATTGTGAAAATGGAAACGAGCTTGATGAAAACGGTTGTCCAACTTGCATCTGCAAAACGAATTGAAAGACATTAAATCTATGGGATCATAATTAACAGACGTCATCTAAATAAAACTGTAATTTTATTCAAGTGGAAACTTTATTAATTGTTAACGATAAATTCTCTAAAGGTTTTTGAATTGAAACTACCTAAAACTTCAAACCTTTGGTCATATATATAATGTTTTTGTATCGTTTTTTATATTGATTACATTTAAATAATTATTGATAGTTTAGTCTTATTTTTAAACACAGGTTTTCAATTATTTAGTCTCATTCATAAACACGGGTTGTCAATATTTTAGTCTCATTCGTAAAAATGGGCGTAAACGTTTAACTCAAGAACTTGCATAAGTTTTTCTGAGCAAAAAGAAATTATACAATGAGTTTGTAGTTCTCATGAATACTTTGATTTATGGTGATTCTCTATAAACAGGAATTTATGAAAAAAGTGTTCATAAATCAGCTGAAGTTAAAGTTTTTAATGGGGCATCTATTAAAGATGTTTTAATTTAATCCCTGTTTCTGAAAAAGTTCTTTATATTAGAACAAAAAACTACATAAATAAATCATTGGAAACTACTATGAATAAACTGAGTGATTTCGTATCACTAATATCATGTCTAAATTCCTTCTACTTATTTATGCTATTAATGCTAATTTGACGCCACAACAATGTTAATGCCCAATTGTTATCCAAACACTTAATAGCAATGTAAAAATGATCTAAGTATTTAAAATTGATAACTCAAATTTATCAAAAGAACACCTTAGGCTTCAGGACCTCCATTTCAACATGTCAACGTAATTGTTATAGTCTTGCAGAAGTGTTCTCCGCAACTGCCGTTTTTTTCTTTCAAAACTATTTAACAAGTGCTCATCAAAGAGCCTTGCTTTCCATCCTGCTTGAAAACGGTATCTAATATCCCTATTTTTAAAAATTCTGGAGAGCAATCTGACTCGTCTAACTACCGTCCCATTAGTCTTCTTAATATCATAAACAAGGATTTGAGTCTTTAATTAACAAACATTTTATCTCTCATCTTGAATCAAATAGCTTACTTTCTGATCATTAATATGGGTTTTGATTTTTTTATTCTATGTTGATTTATTATAGGATAGACGTGGAGAAGCTAAGGCTGTTGCTCTAGACATTTCTAAAGCTTTTGATAAAGTTTGGCATGCTGGTCATCTCCATAAGCTTTCTTTTTACTGGATATCAGTTAACATTTTAAAAATTATTGAACCCTTTCTTATGAATCGTAATATAAAAGCTGTCTTCAATGAAAAGCACTCCTATTCATATCCTGTAATTTTAGGGATCCTTTAAGTTTCTATCCTTGGCCCTATACTTTTTTTAAATATACATTAACAATCTTCCAGAAATTCTCACATTTAAGGTAGCATTGTTTACTGATGATACTACAATTTATTCTTATCTTGATAAGAAGCCAACGCTCACTGATTGCTTGGAGAGGGTATTTAAGCTTAAAAAAAGATTTTGCTTCTGTTACAACATGAGACTCAATGGTGGCTGGTAAAATTGAACTCAGATAAAACTCAGTTTTTATCGGCTAATTGTTATCGCAAAAGTCTAGATCTTCCTATATTTATGAACGGTAATGTACTCCATGAGTCATCTACCCTTCAGCTTTAAGGATTAGGTATTACTTCTAATTTCTCTTGAAAATCCTATATCGATATATAGTTATATCATAAATCGATTGCAAAATTAGCATCTGCTAAGGTTACATCTTTTTATTGTGCTTGCCAATTTCTTACTCAGGATTCTGTTCCTTATCTTTATAAATATACTTTTGGAAGTTAATCATCCTTTGACAGTGGTTTAGCATTTTTGTCGGCGAAAGCGTTAACGTAAATGCACCAACATTTGATAATTTTGGCTTCTCGCACAATGACACCATCATTTGGCTATCTAAATTCTTCTACACAATCTTTTGGACAATCTTGAAGTGCATTTGGATGTACCTAGTGCAATCATATTCTTATTATTTTCGTTTATTTATTAATTAATTAACAATTAAGATCAGTGTAACTGTAAGATAGATTTGAGTAACAAGAATCAGTGATCGAGTCAGATGCGAGACGTATTTATTTATTATGAATACTATGATATTATTGTTTTCGCTTGAATCATCCGGTTCAGAAGAATTAGTATTTTAATTCCAGCCATAAAGACCATAACTTAAAAAAGTTAAAAACTTGTGTTTATTTATTTTTGTTTTTCATAAAATCTAAACTAAGTTTAAAGTTCTTCAACAGCGGTTCTCGGTGACAAGACCTGTATGGTCTTCTTTGAGTATCCGCGTTCTTTATCTTAATTCTTTATTTTTTTGTAACAATTTTTTTGCATGTAAATTTTTCTTATTATATATTTGTAAATATTGTATTAAATATTGTAAAAAAAAAAAAAAAAAAAAAAAAAAATCTCAAATCCGACCTTGTATTAAATACTGATACCGTATCTGGGGCAGATCTTCTAATGATGCTCCTTTTCTTTTAGACAATGTGCAATAACGCATTGTAAACATAATTCGACCTGGTCCTGCAGTTAACCTCCAACCGTTTTTGCATTGTTGAAATGTTTCTTTTCTTTCTTTTTTTTATAAACATTATAATGGGCACTGATAAAGAGCTAGCATCTCTTGAGCTCTTAAAATCAGTCATTTTACTGTGACTGTTCCTTAATGCTCCAAGAATTCTTATTCGCCTACTTTTTTTCCTCAAATATCAGTTCTTTAGAATTCGTTTCTTTCATCTTGTTTTCCTGATTCCTTTAATTTTTAAGCTTTATTTTAATCATTATATTGATCTATGAATTTAAACTTTTTTCTTCCAGTAATTTTCAACTCTAATAGTGGTTGCTTGCCAGTTGCTGTCATTGTTTTTAAAGGAAGAATTAAATTCCTAAGCTAAATTTATTCTAAACTTTTTCCCCTCATCTTAATTAAAAAAGTTGTCATAAATCTGTTTAGGATAAACTGAGATCAAAGTGTTTAAGGTATGAAAATTCATCAACAAAAGTTCCATGCGTTACAATTTAGAGAGTTTTGCATTACTCAGCTAAAATGGCTGCTGAGAGATAAATATACCGTGTATCAAATTCTTAAAGAGCAAATTTAAAACCTCTGAGTTTTGAATTTCATAAAACTATATTAAATGATATTTAAAAAAGTTGTAGTTTCTATGAAAATTACGAAGAAAACTAGTGGTGATATACCAACAAATGTATTAACGTCTATACCAACTAATGTATTAACTTTCTGGCTCTAAGCTTTCAAAATATAATGTATAACCAATTGAATTGGTTATGACACTTAGCATGCGCTTTTTATCTTATTGAAAAAGTAGCATTAATGCTTGCTCAATTGAGATGTTATTGGTTCCATGCTTATGGATCTTTTGAAAGCTAATAAAACAATTCATTATGAGTAATTATTATCAAATAGTTTTTTTCATGAAAGTTTTTAAACTTTTACTCAAGTATAGTGGCCCCCACAGCTATAAGGAAGTGAATACAAAAAATATATAAAAAACTCTATATGTAAGTATTGATAAATATCATTATTTTGACCTCACCATCCATTAGAGTTATAAGAAGCAAGAATAGCCTTTTGGTAAAAAATTACCAGTTTGTGGCAACGAAGTAGAGACAGCTTTGTCTGGTTTTACTTTCTGGTAGTACTCTCAACTTTACAGAAGATAATACTCTATATGTTTATGATAATATCTTATAGAATATTATTTTTTGATTGCATAACAAAAAATTCAATGCGATTGAATGTTTAAATTTAATTACACTATGTAACAATTTTTCACCTCTGTTCTGTTCCTGGGTTGAAAGTGTGTTTTCCTAACCCGTTAGGTTTAGAAGAGGAATCGCTGTTATTTTAGAAAAATTTTGCTTCTGTGAACGGAACAAAGAAATTTAAAAAATCGTATGTTTTCAAGAAAATTTTTGATTTGCTTTCAATGCCGAGCTTCCTCCTATAATATTCCTGAACTGTTAGAGTTGTCCATATGTTTCTACAATTCTCCTAAACACTCTAGAACGTTCAAAATACTTTCAAAACTTTTGAGAAACTCTCAAAGCTTTCTAGAACGTTCATAAACGTTCCTAGAGTAGCTGTACAAGTATAAAAGAACAGGTGTCTTGAACCAAGATTCCAATTTGCGTTATTGCAGACTGAAAGGATAACGATTTGTAGTTGAAGAGAAGTTATTTGTTTGATATAGCATCAAGAGTATGTTTGCATCCACCTTACTCATTCTGCTACGTGTGCGGACAATTCAAATAAGTATTCCTTAGAAGCAAATAAGGCATACTTTGCCGTTCCGGTCACGGACCAAGACAAATCTTGGGCACCGCGCTTATCATGCAAATATTACAAGAAAACACTTAAAGGTAAAGTGAAAAGTTGCTTTCCGCTCAAAGGTGTTTTAATTTATTTTCATTAAATTTTAATACCTCAGATCTAGTTAATTTCAAGGAGTTGTTATTTATAAAATTTTGTCATAAGTTGTGTACTGTAGGCATCTTGAAATCGTTCCATATTTTGAACTTTCCTGTCCTCAAATTTTTTTAATTCTTATGCATTGTTATCTGGTATGTTATAGGTTGGTACAGAGGAGAGAAGCAAGCCATTAAGTTTTCTATCCCACAAATTTGGCGAGAGCCGACGGACCTTTTCAATGTTTTTGCGTTTCAATAAATTCAGTTAAAACTTGAGAATTTCTGAGGAACAGTTTTATAAAATTAAGTTCAAATGGATCAAATCTAACATGGTAGAGAATAAATGTACGTTTCAGCATAAATAAATGGTTTATTAAAGATATACTTAACAACATATGCACAACCCGTATATTAGAATCACTAAAATGGTTACAATTGAGATTTTTAAGCATAACTATACTCTTTTTTATTTTACTGAGCATTAATTTTTATTTTTCTCTTCGAGTTCGAAGCGGTATTAAAGTATTTTCTCTTGGAGTTTGAAGTATTTAAAATTTAGTATTTAAAAAGCAGGTTGGCAATATTTTATGAGTTTTAAAATTGAAATTTTGCAATAAATATATTTTATTTATTTATTATTTATTCAATCTTTAGACATACATAACTTAGACAATAGAGGCTTGGTACGTTTTACATGTGATGTAAAAAGACGAATGTTTCATCGAATAATTATACCACTTTCATTTGATTAAAATCA